TTTTTGAATTATTTTGAGGTGTACAGTCTTTTCATTTTAAAAACTTGAAAATTCGTTTGCAAATTTATAAAAATTACAGAAAGGCCAAGAAAATCTTAAAAAATCCTACATCGATATTATCTATCAATTATTGAAGCCGTAATACAAATGGAACTAGTCCTTTTAAGCTTCTAGAGACAGCGGACAGTAAATATTTCAGAGCTCAGAGTAGCAGCAAGAGAGACTGCTTCAGTAAACAAATATTTTATATTCAATCACAATAAACAGTTATATAAATAGTTTATCATTGGCAACTGATGGGCTTATAAAAATATTAATGTGCTTGTTATTATTATTATTGTTYTGTATACACACCTCCACGTGGCCCCAGCCATCGGCATTCATTTTGACGGCTGCCTCGACACTTTCCTTGGCACCCATTGCGTGTTTTTTAGTTGTTTATATTTTTGGTTTGTTTCTACCGTTATTGCTAGTTTGTTGTGCTTGATTGTAGTAGTCGATTGCAGTTACAGCTGAAGCGTTTTTGTCTTGCTCAAATATTGCTTAGGCCTGTGCGAATTGTGCACGGGAGAGTTGAGTCCACTCGACTTGATGCGAGCTGGTGTGGGCGCAGTAGCAGGAGACTCGCAGCAGCTGTCAGATGTTATTTATTTTGGTGCTGCGGCTGGACCAGGCACCAGATGAACCAGAGCCACAGTCTGATACCCAGGACCTCCAGTGGCGTCTGCGTCTGAGTCGTCAGCAGTTGGAGCGTGAATCGCGAATTGGTCTCGTGCAATATAAATATTGAGCGGATTGACGTTGACGTCGCTGCTGCTGCTGCTGTCACGCTCTCCGTCTCTCCCTCTCTCTCTGTCACTCAGTTACTATTTTGTGCGCTCTCGCTCTCTCTCCCTCGCGTCGAGTATTAGTGAACGACGGATGCTGCTGTTGAAAGCGGCTTTCAATCAGCTTTCGTCCAGTTGAAAACGTCTGTTGTAAGCAGTTAAATAATAGAACAGGCAGAGCGCCTCCTGTGCCGACTCCTTTTATCCTTTGTATCCTATATGCTATATGATTGTTGTATGTTTTATTAATGCAGCCTGGTATGTGGCTGCCTTTCACAATGTCACTTGAAAATTTCACTTTTGGTGCGTTTGCTGTGTTGCTGTTTTGTTTAACGGTGCGTATGAATAATTGATTTGCTTGCAGTTCTCTAGCTCTTTTCAGTTATAAATATTTATAATAGTTACTTTGTGCCTGTTTCGTTTAAGTTATGATTGCGTTTAGTATATATTTAGGTATTTATTCATTTAATTCAACAATCTGTGTGCTGATGCTTTTGATTTGGCAACGCCTTTTGCCTATTCACAAAAAACACACACAAAAAATTGTTCTTCTCCTTCCTTCTTTTCTTTTTTTTTTTTTTTTTTGACTGCAATTCCTTGTGCACTTGTGTGTGTGTGTGTTTTTGTGTAATTTGTTTGTTATTATTTATGCATTCAATTTGCAGTGCCTTTAAGTGTTTTTCAATTAGGTTTTTATTAATATTTATTTAGAGTTTTTATTCACAGGAGCAGCGGCAGCAATAGCAGATGATGAGGACATGTCGTCGCTCTGTGGATTTGTGTGTGTAGCTGCCTTCTGGCCTGCCAAAATACCTACAAAACTTGACGAAACGAAATGTTTTCACTTGACGAAGCACAGAGAGAGAGAGAGCAAAAAGGAGAGCGAAAGCAGTCAGCCAGAGTGGCAGAGAGGCAGAGAGGCAGCGGCAACCGCACAGCAGCCGCCGTCGCAGCAGCAGAGAGCAAAGCAGCGCAGATGAGCTTCGAATTACAGCGACAGCCGAAAATTGCCTGCTCTGTTGCTGTTGTTGTTCTTGTTGTTTTTGTTGTACAACATATATTTTAATTTCGATTTCTTTCTTGCTTTTTCGTTGCTCGTTCGTCGTTATCCTTTATTTTGTATGCCTCCGCTCTTCGTGTTTGTGTATGTGTGTGTGTGTGTGTGTGTGTGTGTGTGTGCCTTAGCTTAGAGGTATGTGCAGTCGTTGGCTGCTGCTGCTGCTGCTCTCCACTCTGACCCCCTCGGCCCGCTTATGTATGTGTCTGTCGCCGCCCTGTGCTCGTGCGTGTGGCTAAAAAGTTGCATAAATCACCACACCTTAATTTACTTAAATGTCAATTTTTGTTTAAAAACACTTTACGCACAGCTTCTGCGTTTGGCAATTGCCAAATTCTAAACTTATTTCGCCGTTGCTGTTATTTTTGTGCGCTGCCTAAAAGCATGCTAAACTTTTTTCACACGCTTCGTTCGCTTCAGTTGTTGATTTTTCGCTTACAATTTTTGCAATTTGGCCAGAACGTGGTTTGAGTATAAGTGTTTGTGAGTGGTGTATCTATGTTTATGTGTAGGTGTGTGTGTTTGTGTATATTTTTTAAGTGTTAAAAGCGTTTTGTCAGTTGCTTCTGAAAGCAGCACCGGAGCAAGCAGCGCGAGCCACACAACCGTCGACTTCGAAAATCGCTTTGACTTTGCGAGCAGAGCAGAACGAACAGGAGCAGCAGTGGCAGTAGCAGCAGCAGCGTCAGCTGGCAGCGACATCTCTGCTGTGCGTCGCTGTCGACGTCAGCATCGCTGCAACTGTTGGAATGTGTGCCACATTTTTTGGGGTGGCTGCTGCCGCTCGCTCGCTGCCTCTGCCTCTGTTTTTTGGCTCTGGCTCTGCCGCGGTCGCTGCTCTTGACGGCCTTTTGTTGTTTTTGTGTTAATGCTGCTGCCGTCGCCTCTTCTGCTGTGTTTCTACTGTCTCTGCTGCTTCTTTCTGTTTCTGTTTAGTGTTTGGACGCATTTTGTTACATTTATTTTACATGTCGCGTGCTGTTGCTGTCGTTGTTGTTGCTGTTAGGACGTCAAATGAAAGTTTTTGCCATTCTGTTTCGTTTTAATGTCTCCCCGATGCATGTGTGTGTGTGTGTGTGTGTGTGTGTGTGTGTGAACATGCACGTTTGTGTGCGTTAATGTAATATTAATGTTATAATTTGCTAGGCGTACGACGTCGCACTCAACCCGCTCGCAAGCTCCACACACACACACACACACACACACACACGCCGAGCACATGAATGTATGTACGTGCCAAGTTTTTTGCATTGGCTGTGGCCCATAAATAATGCAGAGGGTTGCCAGGTGGTTCTTGTGGGCGAGTGGGTGTTTGGTTAATGGTGCTGTGGTGCAAATGGTCACTGGTCAAACAGATTGAACGTGCGCTTCAAACAACAAGTCAACTTTTTATGACCCCAACAACAAAACTATTGCAATTTTAACTAACCGCAAGAACGGCAACAACAACAATAATAACAGATGATTATCATGGGACACACACAGCCACGCACACACACACACAGACACACTCCAGAGTCAGAGTCATATACACCCACACACGAAATGTTAGCGTCTGACTGAGGCACGTTTAACATACACAAAGTAAAAGTGAAAAGCAACATCAAAATTAATAAGTAGAAAGGATGCTGAGTGCTCTGCGGCCAACGGGCCAGCAGCGACGTCAACGGCGACAGTGACTGCGACGCCAGCAGCGCAACAATACACAACAAACACAAAGTAGCAAAAGCAAATTGCACGACAGACAGAGAAAGACAAACAGAGAGGATGCGAATGTGAGCGGGAGAGAGGGGGAGAGCGAGAGTGAGAGCAGCCTAGTGCGTCGGCGTCTTTTCAATATTTAACGAAAGCCTCGTCAAGTTATCAATGTGTTTCCATTTGCTGCGGATGCTGCATCAATAATAATAATACTGCCTGCCACTGCTTGGGCACTGCATTCATTTGCCAATAAATACATAATTGAAGAGCCTTAGACCGGCCCGAAGCACCCAGGAGAACGAAAGGCCGATGAGCGGTGCGGCCGCATTCGATGCCAGGCAGCAGCTGGCGGGGGCAAAGGCAGCGTCGCGACGCATTCAAGCTGCAGGTTGCAGTTGCAGCTGGGCGGCGGCTAACAAAAACAAAAAGCAACGGAGCACGCACACTCACACACACATACAGCACAGACACAAACGGGATGCGCCAGGCTCACTGACGTCAGACCTTCACACGCATTCCCGCACACATACACACGCACCTACATTCACATGCACACCCCACGCACAAAGTCAGTGTCTCTGCTGCGGCTGCTGCTGCTACTGCTGCTGCTGTCGYTATCTCTTTAAGACACGTCATTAGAAACTGCAGCGGCTGCTTGCAGCGAGCAGCAAAAAGGCGCGACTGGGCAGCGGCAGCAAAAAAATAAGAGGGAAATAAAAAGCCAAACAACAAAAGTCAGAAGCTGCTGGACCTTGCTGGCTGTAAAATGTCAAAGCTCTTGTAATTGTTGTTGCTGTTGCAATAATTGCCAATGTGTGTCGCTTTGTTGTTGCGTAAGGTTTTTTAGGGCAATTGGAGGGTGTGGTTCACCGGGGTGCCAATATAATGTACAATGTATGTATGTACATACATACAAAATATATACACATACAAACATATACACACTCACACCCTGGCAGAGGCGGGCAAACACATGTGTTAGACGAGATTGACACAGTTTGCTGGGTGTTTGGGCATCTGCGCCGCTGCGCAAAGCTTTGGCCAATGCTTCGTTACGAGAACTTTCCTGCTGCCGTGTTTTTATGAATGAATACACGTCAGCAACAACAACAATAGCAGGAGCAGAGCTTTTGCGCTGTGTGCGCTGAGCCGAGGCACGTGCTTTGCAACAATGTTACTTTGAAAATAACAAAATAGTTGCTAATATTGATATTTTTGTACTTTCAGGCTGCAAACATTGAACTAACGTAATATAACTAAAGAAATATCTTTAATGATTCGTTAATTTATAATATTCAATTTTACCGCCAAACGCCTACAAATACCCTAAAAATTACCACCACTATCGATGTAGCGCGTGCCACAGCGTTGCTACGTGTGTTTATCGATGTTTGCAGTGCTGCGCAATGGTGTTTTTACGCCGCTACCAACACTGCATGCAGACCGTGAAAGCAACAACAACTTGTGGCATGCAAAAGCAGTGGCAGACGGCGCCGTTTTTCGAATTTACAAATTAAATTGTAATCATTTGTACACATAATGTTTGATGCCGAAGCAACAGAAAAGGAATTGCGTAGCTTAACAAGTGTGCAAGTTGGACCCGAAACCAAAGGTAGGCAAATATAATTAATATTCCAGCAGCGTCTAATTGTGTTGATCCCAACCCCTCCAGAATATAATTTATTGCGTGCGGACGAGGAATATCGCAATGGCAATGAAAAGGATTCGATTTATTATCAAGTTAGAGCACTGTTTCAGTGCGCAGATATGCGACTCCTAACCGAGGCCCAGGAACTGGAAAACCAGCTGCCGAACGCTTCTGAAATATTGTTGGAAGCGACGCCCAGGGAGAAAGCCGACTACAAAAGGTGATACAGTCGTACATTAAATGCTAAATGTAGTAATAAGGTATACCACTATACCAATCACTAAACTCACTCTCTTACTCTAAACAGAAACAAATTTCTGCAGAACATATTAAATTACCAACTGAAATTGGAGAAATGCACAAGAACGCCTAAAAACACAGCCATCGATAGTTTGGACTTTCTGCAGGACGTGCAGGATCCAAAGGTGGGCTATGCGCGCATCACAGAAGTCTGCCATCAACTGCCAGAGGAGTGGTGTGTGCTGCAGCTCTGCAAGAGCTTCAATGCAGCCACCACTTACTCCACATTTTGTGAGATCGCTGCTGCCAATGGCGACATTTATGTTTCTCTTTTGCGGCACTGTCGCAGTCCAGAGCTGGAGCCCACTTGCCTGCACTTCAATAGCGATGCGCTGGGTAACCTGTTTAAGGAATACGGCACCATGGTGGAGCGTTTTCGGCGAGTGGTCACAGTCGATCCGCTCGCGGTAAAGGATCATGAGTCCAAGGCTAAATACTGGAAGGAATTGCATGCCTTCGAAGAGTACTTAAAGGTGCCTAACATATATATTATCTATATGATTATAGTTGCTAATCCTTAAACCTTGCAGAAACTAATTGCCGATCTGACCAGCGTTTTCATGCCCTACTGTTTCATGTTTCTGGGCAAGCGCTATGCCGATGCTGCAGTGCAGCAGCAAACCAAATTGATTTTTGATCGCGTTGATGAGTTCTGCGTGGAGCACAGATGGAGCAATCATCAGCGTATACTGCTCTCGCAGGCGGCGCTGCATGCGAATCGTCTGCCACACGACCAGATGAAACAGCTGAGCTATGAGCTAAACAGCAACAGCAACAACAACAACAATGAGACTGAAGCGCTGCTCGTCTATGAGCTGCTCAAGAGTTGTGCCACTAAATGGCAGAAACTCGAGCAGCGTCAACCGCTGGCTGCTAAACGCTTTCCCATCATTCTGGTGGTAGATGAGGCAGGTTGATCATATTTCATGTTACCTCTCAATCGGCTAATTCTTATTGTCTTTTAGCGCCTGGATCATATGCACTGGGAGCAGTTGGCGCCCATGCAGGAGTGCACGCGCATCAAATCGCTGCACAGTTTGTGGCGCCTGTTCAAGCACCACAAGGCACAGATTCAGCACGGCTACTATATGGTCAATATTAAGAGTGGCATAACGCTCGTCAATCCCGATGCTGATCTGGAAAATTCGGGCCGTCGTCTGCGCAGCTTTCTTGAATATTGGTTGAGCCACTGGCAGCATATGTTCGAGACGGTGCCCACGGAGCAGTTTATGATTGAAAAGGCTTTCAAGGCCGATTGTTTTGTGTAGGTAAAACCCCGGAAGCCACCTGGTAAACAGATGATACAGTTGAGTTCTTTCAGCTATGCGGGTCACGGCTCGAGTCTGCAATATGTTTCCAGTCGCTTGATTTATCGCAATCGCATCAAGGGTGTCATCTTTCTTTTTGGCTGCGACTCGACGCGCGTGCTCAGCTCGGGTCTGTACAGTGCCTTATACGGAGCACAGGACTACTACCATGGCGCGCTCTGTCCCACTGTGGTGGGCACATTGATGCCCGCACTTGATGGCAATATGGATAATGTGTCCGCCAATATACTGAGCCAGTGGATAGCACCGGCCGAGCAACAGATCATACCCTGGGCAAGCATTGATCGCGCCGCTTGGGTCTCACAGGGCACTGTCAAAGGTAAGTGTTTAGATTATACATAGAGTCTCACTAATTAGCTATCTTGGACAGCAGCACTCAAAGGCAACAGCGAGACTCTGGAGCAGCAGCCGGACTATCATACGGGCAGCCTAAGCGCCATTTTGGCCAACGTGCAAATGGGCAAAGTGGAGCCCAAAATCTACAATTGCAGTGTCTACGTGTGCCGAGGCTTGCCGGCCTGGAATGCAGCTGTGCAGGAGCTGCCACTTTAAGTTGGGACGTATGAAGTGCATACTTTTATATTATTTTTTTTACTCTTCTAGCACTATATTTAATATTTAGATTAAGTGCACAATGGAGTAGTACTATTTAGTTCCATTTGTTCCACCTTGAACTCATGCGGCAACAGCTGCACTCTTAGATAAATCTTAGAACTAGGCTGAGAGTGGAGAGATGCGCACCAAATGTTATCATATATTCGGATAATGTACGATTTTATGTATGTAAGTAAAGAAATAGCACTATTACCCACCGCTAGTCGCCTTGCATTCAAAACTTAAGACTTATATTTACTATAAATTATCTCACTGGTGTATCAAATAACTAGCCCTAGGTTTGCAAGTTAAACGTGCTCGAAAATGTTGCATAAAAGTTCAAGCACAACACATAGAATCGCATAAGATATCAAATAACATATAGATTGATCAAAATTGTGCCCATGAACTTACCTTGTATGGCGTGCAAATTGAGAGAGTGAAGAAGTTTATTGAAGTTGCTTTTGCTTTAAGTTATTAAATACTTGTGTCGTTTGAGCACTGGAACTGTTTTAATTTGTTTTCTGTTTTTGTTTATCTTTTGTTTAGGGGATTTTGTGAGGTTATCAGTTGAACTTAGACATTTGTTTTATTTTGTACAAACTTTAGATTAGCTTGTTGGAACATTCACCGTTTAGTATTTGATTATTTAGTACTGCCATTTGAAGCATGCCACAGTTTTTGTTTGGTTTTTATTTATATATTTAAATATATATGTATATGTAAAACGCCTGTGCAAAATTTGAAAGAATTGTAGTTGGAATAATTTGTGAGTTGAAGGAATAAAATCAGAAAGTGAAAAGGTGAGGTGCGTTGACAGTTAGATAGAGACTGCTTAAAATCTAAGAGCAATCACACACAAACAATTAGATATGATAAAGTGAATAATTTGATAATGTTTGCTTAAGTTGAATAATATGGAGATTTCAAAAAGTAATTGCAAAAGTGAAATCAATTTCATTGCCCACTGGCAGCTCTATATTTATTATATCCCTTGAGCCTGACAGCTAACTCCAAATGAGCTGCGCCCATTTAAAAGCTAATGTATGACTACGTAGTTCAGCTTGGCTAGAAAACGCCCATCAATTTATTTACTTTACGCGCATTTACTCGTTTTTCTATTTTACTCTTTGCGAAATGTGGCTGGGGGAGGGGCGCTGGTTGGGGCGGTTGGTTTGTTCTCTTTTGGCCAAGGGCTTTTTTGGATGCGAAAGAGTTTTTGGCCCTCAACCTCAACATGGAATCCACTTGACCTACTAACTGCCTGTCGCATTATGACACACATTTCATTAATTAGGCGCTGGCCCAGCCAACAAAAAGGCCCAAAAACCGAATAGCCAAACAGATAGACGTGAATTAGGAGACGACCTTCGGCCAATGCGGCGAATGCGTAATATTAGAATTTTGCTCATCGAATTAGTGTCACATATTTGCATGCTTAACACGCACACACACACGCACATACCAATCAAAATCCACGCCCCATTATAATGGCAAACTATAAATATATATATTCGATGTGCGAATGTGTCCCTATTAGGTGCATTTAAAGGATGGTTCGTCCTTCGTGTTAATGTCTCAATGCCGTGCCCATGGAGCGTTTCCAGGGTGTATAAATCATTTTAGCAGCAGCAGCGCACACCTAAGGTGCATGCCACGCCCCCACACACACACGCACACACAAACACACAGACACACGCTAGCACATAGATATAGCTACTGCTGCTACACATTTGCCTGGCTGGACTTGTAACATGACAGGCGACAGCTTCAGAAACAGGATATTACATAACAGGCGCTGCCTTAACAGCGAGAGCGACATGTAAATGTGTGTGTATGTGTTCGTTCGTGTGTGTTCCGCTCTATGTTAACTGCACGTGTATGTGTGTGTGCGTGTGTGTGTGTGTTGTTATTGCTGTTTTGCTTTTGTTATTGTGAATTGAACTGCATTTGTTTTGCCTTTTTGTTTAAGCTTCCTTTTTCATGTCTCGCTGCCTCATTTTGTTTGTTGTTGATGACTTTACAGGCATAAGCACACAGGCACACACATACACACACACACACTCACACAGTTCACTTACATTTGGCTTGTTTCATTCGCTTATTTCGTTGCACAAAAACAAAATTGAAAATTTCATTTGTATAAAAAACTCAAAATACATTTTTGCAACCTTGAACTGATTTCTTTGATTTGATTTGAAATTGTTTCTTCTCCTCCGTTTTCGTTTCCTCTCTTTGTTTTATATATTCATAAAAAAATGATTATATTGCTTATTGTCTTACTTTAATTTATAATTTTAAGTTTATGCAAAAAATGTGTTACAAATGTTGTTAGAATTTTTTGGTTGTTTTTGTTTTGTTTCTGAAACGCTTTGTTAACTTTGGTTAAAATTCTTGTTGTTTAATTATTGTTTTTTTTTTCTTTTTTTTTTCAAATATTTTTTGTAGTTTTCTGTATTGTAAATTATTTGATTTTTGTAGTTTGTTAGTTTTGTGTTTGTATTTTATGCTGCTATGTTTTTTTTAAATCCGCCGCGTTGCACACAACAATTCTCTGGCAGAGATAAACTGAGACTGAGCCCGAAACTGAGGCCAGGCATTGGGCTCGCCTTGTTTGTGTGTGTGTGTGTGGCGTCCTTGCGCCAAGGCAGCTGCATCCTTCTGGAGTCTGCCCCCTAGCCTCGCCAGAGCCGAGCGCATCATCCTCATCCGCGTTGCTATTCGTGGCACGCGACGCGCCAAAAAGAGAAGCGAACAATGTTGCAAAACTGATGTTGGGCAACAACAGGAGCAGCAGCAACAACAACCACAACTAAACATTTGAATCGCAAACCGCGACAAAAACAGCCGAGGGGATATTTCGCCCTCGCCCAGAGAGAAATCGGCTGGAGAGAAAGAGCGCAACTTTCACCTCTCGCGTGCGTGTCCTCGCACAATATTCACATTGTTGTTGCCTGCTCCTGCCGCTAGTGTTTCTGCTCCTGCTGCTGCTGCTGCTGCTGCCTCCAATCTCTTCGGCCACTATTTCACTTTCATAGTTTCTAGCAACGGGGTTGAAGCTCAATGCCCAACGTGTTACAATGATTCTGCGTTTTCATTGTTGTTGTTGTTGTATTTGTTGTTGCTGCCAGGCCCCAAAAAGCTTCACTGTTGTTATTGCCCAGCACGTGACTGGCCAAGAGCTTTCTTATCACTGCCGACCCCAAGGGTGTGTGTGCTATCTATGTGTGTGTGTGTATGTGTATGGGTGTGAGGGATGCTGAGATTGGAGGCTCTCAAAGCAAAGCTTTTTACATTTCTAGTCAATAAAATGTAAAGCTAAGCTCAAATTCACATTGGGCTAAATAATGTAAAGGAAATATAAATAAATTTTAAAGGAAAAAAATAAGAAAGCCATTTGGTTTTTAGTAAAATCTTATATTTACTCACTAATGTTTAAGTTTAAATTTGAATATTTTGTTGTGACAAATAATATTAAATACAAACTATAAACATATTGTGATATGTTTTAATCATTTGTACCATAGTTTTACCTTCCAGACTTTAAGCGCTCTAAAATGCTACAAATCTAAAAGTTTACGCTTGGAACTAATCATTAAATGGCCTTTAGTGTATTCTTTAGCATGCTACCTGGTAAAGTTAAGCTCTAAATATTATAGTTAGAATGCCTTTGCATCTGCACTCGTCGCCTTAAGTCTAGTTTTGCATGCCACAATGACTGCACTTGTGCGCAGTTGTTGGCTGTACGTGAGGTATTTCTTTGATTTCATGCGTTTTGTACGTTTCGTTTGCTAGGTGTTGTTGCTCTGTTTTTTACAAGTTTTGAACTTCAAATGTGACCCCGTGTCGCTGGCGCTAGGGAGTTGGCTCGACAGCAGCTTCAGGCTGCTGGTCGTTGGCAACGCTTTTGCTTCGCCTGCTGGTTCGTGTCTGTGGAAAGTGGAAGATGAATTAACTAGAGCCCTGCGCTGTGTGCGTGTGGTGGATTTGCATGAACTCACCACAGAGGTGTTGCGTTGCGGGCAATCGGCATGCAGATGGTCCTCGCTGCGGCAGCGATGGCAGCGCTTCGGCTGCGGCCCTATCGCGCACTCCGAGGCAATGTGATTGGCGAATTCGCCGCAATTGTAGCAGCGCATGCGGCGAGTTTTCTTATTGCTGCAGAGTTGAGTTGAATATGATTTAGATGTGCGTTACTTCCTGCTCTCTTCTTCTATTCTTTTTCTTTTTTGTCTTTATATCACTTACATGCGTGGCCGATAGGTGCTGCCGTGACAATCATCGCCCTGCCGTCCCGAAACACGTGTCGCCTCCAGGCCGCGCGCTGTGCGCTGGCACTCAAACTCCACCTCCTCCTGCTCGCCCAGCGAACGAAAGCCGGACATTTGTATGACGCTCTGTGTGACAACAGCAATTGAGTGACATTGAAATATGAGTATATGTGTGTGTGTTACCCACCTGATGCACAAAGACCTCCTGGCCGCCATCGTTGGGCGTAAGGAAGCCCCAGCCCTTGGCCACATTGAACCATTTGCATTTACCCAGGCGCACGCAGCCGCATTCCTCGCCCGGCGCCGCTGCAAGAGAATTGTAAAAAGTATTTGAGTTGATGGCAGCGACAGCGTTATCCTGAATATCCTGCCTGGGTATGTGCTGCAATTGTTTTGTTATTCAAATGAGCCGCGGCTAGCAGCGGCAGCAGCTGAACTTCTTAAATGCCTAACCGTGTCCTTGTCCCATTTGCCGCAAGGCAATGCTCAAGACAAGCAAAAACCAAAAACTCTATCACGGCAACAACAACAACAACAACGAATGGAAAACAGGTTTCGTTGTTTCTATTAGAAATATTTGTGGAGAGTGTAAATACGCTGGAGCGAAATAAAGCGATTGGATTGAATTGAATTGCTTGGGAGTTGGTTGCCATACGAAAAATGTGTTTGTATGAGTTATGCTTTATCTGTGCTAAGAGTGTGTGGTTCATCTATAAACACGCTCTCTCTCTCTCTCACACACTCTCAGAGTCGAGTATATTTCATTCAGTTGCTGCGTTCATTCATAATTTGATATTTCGATTGCGTTCCATTTTAGGCTGCTTATCTTTCGGTATGCGTTTCGCCTATGCAGTATCTCACAGATACGTAGATACGCTGCACTGCATGCCCACTTTGCTGATAGCCCTTATCTGAAAGGCCCATATAAAATGCCTTTCTCTTCTAGAGGGTTGTTGCTACCGAACCTCAAGAGTTGCTCGTTGTCTTCTTGCAACAATTGCTGGCTCGTTAAGAATGCGGTTAGAATTTTCAATTAAAGAGGGTTCAAATTAATGGGTTTTCATTCAAATTGATTAGATGAAATGTCAAAAGACTAAAAGAGATCGGATCTATGAGTGTTTTATGGAGATTTATATACATACTTGAGACTTATAGATTTTGATTGTGGATTGTTACTTGATTGGACTATTTTCTTATAAGCTAGTGGCTAGATCTACAAGAATTCGATTATTCTTTATGTTTAAATTTCTTTCTCTATCAAAACTGAACCCTAGCAGCCGTTCCTAGGTTTCTTTCTCCTGTTTTCATACCGAAATATATATTTTAATTCTCGAATATTTGTGTGACACATCTGAAGCATCTACTCTGTCTGTCCCGCACCTTTCCATTGTAAAATCTCTCAATTAGTTTAAAAATACATATATAGAAGATCTTTAGCTAAAAACAACCACCGCATGCCTGAGCGACTTTCGACGTGCGGGAAAACGCGTCTATTTCTCTATTAGCGCTTAATTTTCTAGCCGATTCACTCGACTATAAAATAAAGCAGCGCCCAAATTTGCCTACAAAAATGTTGTAAGACGAAAACTTGTTTTGTAACTTGGAAAAAAACTTGTCAATTGGAAATAAATGACACAGAAATATGTGAGAAATGCAGTCAAGTAAAAAGTTGAGGCCGAAAGAAATTCATGGGAAATGTGTAGAAAATGTTGGTCAGAAAATGTTCAGGCATAGGGGGTAGGCCAGGCTAGGTTAGGGTCAGAGGGCGGTTTTTGCACATGCACTTTCGGGAAAGTGTTTCGATTTGCAATCGCTTTGAGGGTTGATCAACGTTCGCCCATGTGCCGATTTATACATAGAGGCGCATAAAAAATGATTTGCCAATAAAAAATGTCGGATGGCAAAAGCAAAACAGAAATGCGGAAAACAAATATAGAGAACTGCGTAGTACATAGCAAAACAGAAAATCAACCAAAACAACTCAGCGATCGCTGTGTGGCCAATCAGCGTTGAGTTTGATAAGATTTCGTGTTTGCTGTTGTTGTTGTTGGTGTTTTTTTTTTTTTCTTTCATTTATGGGGCAACAGCCACATAAACAAAAGCGAAACTAGTTTTATTGTGGCCTCACTGATTTTGGATACGCTCTGGCTTTGGAAATGTGGAGAAGGGGAAGGGAAAGGGAAGATTGCTAGTATTACCTGGTGAGGTGGTATTCCTGGCGCCTTCCGAGGGTGCTGCTGCTGCTGGTGCTGCCTCGCTGCTGAAATTGGGATTTTCCATGCTGATTAGAGTTCAGAGTTTAGTGTTTAGTGTGATTCTTATTTCCGTCTTATTGCTCAGTATTTTATGTCAACTGCAGCATGTTCCTGCTGCCTACACTATGCAGCACTTGAATATACACACAATGCACACATAGATGCAGTCACAGATACACACGCACGCACACACGCTCGCCTAGAGATGAAAACGTATTGGAAATGAAACTCGGAAAACGGAATCGATTGAAAAACGCTGCCGCTGCGCACGACGCACTTCGTCACACTGAACTCTGAGTTGCGTTTTACTATTTCTAGGAAGGCCACAGTGCCTGAAACACACACACACACAAACATAGGCACACATCACACACACACACACACACACACATACGCACATACGTGCAGCGCACAAGAGACAACCCGAAATTGTAGCTGTATCTTCAAAAACAATATTCAAACGCGGCCACGACGCACATGATGTGTGTGCGTGCGTGCGTGTGCGAACGGGACAGCGAATGGCCATAGTGCGTGCGCGTGTATGTGTGAGTGTGGAAAAACATTTGAGTCGCGCCGTGTTGAGCACTGAACGTAACAACGTAAGCGTAGCTGACAGACACTTTTACGTAGCGATCGCTCAGCGAGCGAGCAAAAGAGAGAGGGAGAGAGGGAGAGAGAGAGGCAGAGTGGGAGAGCGCAAACAGAGAACGTGCTCTCTGAGCACATTAATTGCTTTTGTTGGTTATCTGCGTTTTAGATAAATATTTGGAACTGTACGTCTCTCGATCGGTTTGTCATACAGTCTGTTCGACTGTTATACACACTGCTGCCGACTGTTATACAGCGGTCTGTGGCCTGGCCTGCTTTCTGATAGGCGGAGGGCATAAAAAACAATCAGCACTCTGATTGGTGGCACAAAAAATTGCATAAAAAAGTGCACAAAAAAAGCGGCACACACACTCTCACATTGGTCGCTGTGCCACCCCGAAAAACTGAATTTCTGCAGATTATGCACACAAATTGGCGATGTCGCGTGGCAACGCATTTTTACCCTCCTCCTGCGGCAATGCGTGGCATTATTGTGCAACATTTTGCGAATGTCTATTGCCGGGGCTGAGGCTGGGATGCAATTTATCATGGCACGTGCCACAGTGTTGGCCGTGCTATGTGGCATGCCAAATCGTCGGCCAATGCCGCAAAATGTTTGATGACAGCACGGCAAAGGGCGGTTGCACGAGGGTGAGACGATGTGAGGGTTTATGGCAGAGATTTACAGTACGTGAAACGAAACACATATGGAAATGGTACATAGACATGTATATACTTATATAGCATTATATATGTGCATGTGTGAAAGTGGAAAAAAATGTGACTAAGGAGTGCTTGAGATGGAGTGCTACAGACAAAATTATGGACTTACTTCACTTTTAAGGAGACTTGCGGGTTTTATAAACATTTTATAAGTAATATTATAAAATCAGAAATAATTAAGTTAACAAATATATACATATGCACATAAATACATACATATATACATTGTAATTAATAGATATTATTCAGAGACAAATGACCTATGCATTCAAATTCATAGATAGACATAAATATTTACTACAAATTTAAATATACATATATCCATGACAAAAAATTTAGGTATTAAGGGCAAAGAACTATTAAGAGCAGAAGGAATTTAAATACAAAGTGGGAGAGAGAAAGAAAGAGACTGTAAGAACACATTCAATATAAATTGTCAGCTAGCTGAATACATACATACATACCTCTCGAAAATGTACAATGGGATAATTGAGAGTCGCATAGTAGAGCACTGGTAACAAATATTTTTCTATTCATAAATTAATTTTCTATGATCAGATAGAAATACCTAAAAAATCATCGGAAAAACTGGATAAAACAGTTGAAATTTATATATTAGAGAAATCTACCTATTTTTCATACCATGAACCTATTAAAAAATGGGGAATCGGGGTATAATGTTTATTATAGGTATTACTACAAGGTTTCTTTAAAAAATATATAAAAAATGAAAACTTCAGCGCCCTATTAATTATAATTAGAGTTTGCAATAATAAAATATTTGTATCACACACATTTTATATGATATTTTATACCTCCCTTTAACATTAAAAGAAAATCTCTCAGCAACTCAATATATTTCAGATTTATGAGCTGCTTTTAGGGCATCTTCCATTATTATGCACTTCCAATTCGCACCATATAAAAAACATGTGTGTATGAAATGAGAGCAGGGCTTTGCCCTCAACTGGGTGCTGCGAGGTCAGGCTTGGGTCAGTTTGATTTTTATCTTTAATAAATGCAGGCAGCACAATAAACAAACAACAACGAAAACAGAATCAGAGTAGCAAAAAAATGAAATAGTCCTTTGCTCAAAGGGGCCTGTGTAATCAATATTTTGCCGACAGCAGAGTCCTTTGGCTTGTGCCCGAGATTCTCTCGCTCCCTCTGCATGAGTGTGTGTGTGTGTGAGTGTCCAATGGGCTGGACGCCTGCGGACACAATGGCTGAAATGGAAAGTGCCCATTAGGGTATACGAAGCACTCACATGCGCATAATTGGAACAGGATTAACAAGGCAGCCGCACATCATGAATGCAATTGCAGGACGTGCAGCCATTGTCCGGCCGTTGGGACCCCTGCTTGATCGGACACATGCATTTCCGGACATACATGGACAGACACAAAGGCCACGCGCACACAATGCGCTGAAAATAATCCGCTTTAAGTCTATAAAAATGCAGCCAAACAAAAATGTGGAAAATGTGGAAAATGCGAGCAGCGAAAACTCGATGCAAAATCACAAACGGAAAATGCACAGAAAATTGCAAGTTGCAGCATGCAAAGTGGTTGCAACTGGAGCGCTGCCAGGGGAGGCTGCACGCGTTTGACCCGACTGTGGCACCTCATGTCAGTACTCGTATGCCAGTGTGAGTGTGCGTGTGTGATTATCGCCAATCTCTTTATTATTCCCATTTTCTGGGTTTTTTTTTTCCTGATGCTGCTGTTGTCGGTGTCCTTTTTTTATGCCAGAGCGCACACAATTTGCATGTTCAGCAGGAGGCCAGCTTATTATTAGAGTCCACAATAAGCATTCAAGTATCCCACTTTCCCTCTTGATTGACACGTGATTGATGTTTCCATTTTGCATTGACAGCGCCTCGACCTAAAGGAAGCCAGAGCCAACTACGATTGGCATTCACATCTAGTTGCGATTTATTAAACTGTTTGCTGCCCATCAAACTGAAGAATAGCTAAGAAGAGCTAACTAAATGCGAGGCTTGCTTTGGATTGAATTGATGCTCAGATTTGATAGAGTTTTGCTGGATTTATGTAGATATTAAAATTTGGTGAGTTTCATACATATAGTTGGCTTGGGTAAATCAGTTGCGATAACTGAATGGATTCCTCTTTTTATAGTCGTATACTAAATGACATTTCTCAACATTTTCAAAGGGAATAATTCTAGACAATTGAAGCGTTAAAGCATTTTTGAATTAATTTATGAGATAATTTGCTAAGATAACTTAAAACTTGCCTGAAAATGCCTGCTGCTATAAGGACAAATGCAATCGATTTAAATGAAGGCTCAATTTAATCGAGGCTCCTAAAAGTATGCTACAATTTAAAATTTGCACTTAAAGCCTCACTTTAAGCAGCTTAAGAAGCTGAAATGAGAAATGCCAAGAAAATTATGTATAAAAATTTAATTGAAAAGAAAAAAAAAAAAGAAATATTCTACTTTTTATAATATCTATACACTCCAAGATTTGCTTAAAAAATAAAATCGTAATAATAAGAAAGTTTCGTTAGTATGAAATATTTTGTTTTTATTTATGTCTTTTCATCGTACGTGGTATTAATTGTTGGTTTTCATTTAGATATATTTTTAGAGATATTTTATATAATTAATAGGAATTTAAGTTGCGTTCAAATAATTTCATAATTTCATTTTATTTATTTATTTATTTTTCTCATTTAGATTTACGCATATAATTCGCAATACATATGTATGCATGTATATAGTCAATTATGGATTCATATTTATTTTTGCTTTCATGCTTATTTATTTGCYTTTGCGTTTGTTGTTGTTGTTGTTGTTGCTTTTCTGTTATTGTGGCATAAAAGGTGAATGACAGAGACATATCGCTAACAATTTTAAATGGATTCAACAAAATTTGTTCACTAATTTAAGGTTTTAATTGCAATTTGTTTCGTTAATGATGATTGCAAATGAAATTCGCTGCGTTTTTTAATTGTGTATGAGAACCAATTTTGTACATTTGTGGACACAAAAAACAATTGTTTAATTAAATATTAGATA